GCATGAGACCACTATCCAGGCGACAATCATCATTACATCCAATGACATGTGCGTGTTTATAACGTTAGTCAACTCGGTGATATCTGTCAAGCTACTATATTACACCGGCACATAGGTGGACGTGGCTATTTAACTAATTAGTTAGTTATTTGATCACCCATGTGAACCAAAGTGTATATCGATGTCAACAATGTTCATGTTAGTTACCAACGTCCGTAACGGAATCTATGTATATATGTTGGAGCGGCTATTCTGTAAATGTGTAAACGTGTAAAATATGTCTTACTGGCTTGATATTCCGGTCCAACCGTTCCAACCTTGCTGTTCTGGCAACATCAATATTAGCAAATAACTTATTCTGAATGAAAATAATATTATGATAAAGTATGGCTATTTTATGCTCCATGTATGTGTTACACCAAAGGCAACTCCGCAGACACTGCTTGTGAACCGAAACGCATGAGGTAAAATCAATTGTTTTGGGAGATTTGTCAGTAGTCATTGTGCTGAAGCCTCTTGTGCTCGTTAATCTATCAAAAAGTACCTTCTATCACCCGCATTGTTTATATCCACCTGTGTGTCCAATTTTGGTATGCATGGAACCTACTCACTCGCATTTATCAGTCTAACATTTACAGGTTCTGTGTCATGGTGTGGGGGAACCGACTATGTATATGTTTATGTAATTGTACAATACACAAATCAGGGTAGTATTAACTTCTGTTAACAACATATGAAAATCGAAAATATATTTAAATACAGATATAATTTTATGCCAACAGATAACAATCTTATGAAATATGAGATATCGACATATTTTTCTATTATATTTTTTTAGGAAACATATTTTTGAAATATACTCAAAAGCAAACGTTTTGTGATGTGAATATTTATTTCACTTTACAAATATTATTTTTCAACCAGAAGTATTTAAGCAATTCGACAATAAAAGGCAAGAAATGGATTTCCGTACCATGGTCACTGTAAGCAATCTTCGGAATAACAGAGTTATACCTCTTTTGAGCGATCTGAAGAAATTTCACTATGCCGAACCTAAATGCAAATGACAGAGGGCGTGCCGTTTGTTTGGTTATATTCAGTGCATTGAAGTCATAAAAAATAAACACCCCAGAGACACGTGTCAACGTGCGTGTCACCAATTGAACATGTCTGAGGTGTTCTTGGGAAGCCTTCCAAATAAGGCACCAATATTGAAGGAATTCGACCAATCTTGCCTCAGATGCGGAATGCGATTCCCTGGAGCTTTTTTCAACAATTAGTGACTTCAGTGTAGTGGCCTGTAATGTTGGCACACTAAACAACTGACAGTGTGAACTTGCCTGAGACCACCCAAGTATGACATGACTCAAGTGATAGTTTGGCCATAGTTTCTAGTGGCCGATGCGTGATTGAATTACGGAGTTGTCTTTCTCTGCTTTTCACACGCTGTTACTGCCGATTTCTTGTGACGCTCGAGCTTCCTTAGTATCCTTGGATTCTTACATTCTGTGTTGTGCATGTATATCGATTCTATATGATTGTAATGCAATTTGGTGACGTATTAGAGCAATTGTACAGAATATGCATCCTGTGTTCCTGGTATGTTTTCCACAAGTATGACAGGAGCGATCGTTTTAAGGATTGTTTCTCATTTACAGTTCGTGTGAGAACATAAAGACATTCGTGTCAAAAGTTTATTCCTGCTACAAAATCACGTGGATACATGAAATTGTGTCTGTGTTACTTAATGCGTCTCATATAGCACGCCTTACATGTGTTTAACCTTCTACCGAGTTTCTTCATGTTTCCAACTGTGTTGGACCACAGGTAAAACCAAAGGGGGATAATTCTCTAAAGTTACCGAAAAAACATAAAATTGCTATTCAGTGGCAGCTTAAATTAAAACGGAACATGATTCCAGGTATTATCAACGTTTCGGGTACCACAGATATTTTTTTTTCACGTAATATAGTTCCATCCATGGCTGTCATGTTTCACCCATTCTCTTTAAGTTTTTGTATGTGACAATAAATTTTGTTTTTGTTTACATGTTTTTTTTAATACTGATATGAAAGGAAAAATGCTTGATCACTTTTGACTCGGAATGAATGACATGAAAACGAATTGAAAATTTTCTCGCATGATAAAGAATGATGGACGAGTGAGTTAGTGAAAATGAGTGTACAAATGATAGTGGCAGTTCCAGCAGCAACTTCGGGGATTACAGCACTACCCAAAAATGAAGAGGTCAGTGTATGATGTGACCACCATTTGCACGAAGACATGCGTAAATCGGCGAGACACTGAATCTCAAGACCACTCATGGAGGCATCTGTAATGTTTCTTCATTCCTCTTTCTAAGGTCAAGGAGGGTTGGTTGGTTGGTTTGTTGTTTTACGCCGCACTCAGCAGTATTCCAGCGCTATGACGGCGGTCTGTTAATAATCGAATCTGGACCAGACAATCATGTGATTGATATCATGAGCATCTTACGACAAGCATAGTCGCCTTTTACGGCAAGCATGGGTTGCTGAAGACCTATTCTTCCCCCGATCTTCACAGAGTTCAAGGAGGGAACGTCTGTGGCTGATACGTGGGCACGGGTGGCCCAGTCGTCTAAGGCGCCGCGATTCGCTGTGCAGAGTTGCGTCCCCTTGACACACCAGAAACCCATGATTGTGGGTTCGAATCCTGGTTCACCACGATTATGTTTCTAGGTTTGTCAGCACCATACCCGTGCCCGTGGGTTTCACCGAAGTGGTAAACGTCTGAGACCTGCATCACTTCGGGCTTTCCTCCCACATTAAACTGACATGACGTGATATAACTGGAATAATGTTAAAAGCGGGGTTAAACCCAACTCACTCACTCACTCACTGTGGCTGATAGGTTGTCCGAGGCAATCCGACATGTTTCCTGCCTGGTTCATATCAGGGGAAACTGCAAGCCATTCCAAAACAATAATGATGGTCTGTGAACTTTACCTGTATGATTTATGCAGTGTGTGGGCAGGCGTTATTATGCTAAAATCCTCCCAGGTGTGGCGGCAGTAGAGGCCACATATCATTGACCACATGACGTTGAGCATTCAAGTTACCATTAATGACGATGATGACACTCCTAAAATGTACATTAATCAACACACTGCCTTCTCAAAAAAACTCATGAACACCCTCATGAACACAAGCGTCAGCAAATTTGTTGTGTCGTCTTCTCTTCCATCCACAATATACGCAGAAACAGGACTCGCTACTTATGGGTTTATTTTGTATGAAGTGGATTCATCGAAAGAAATTACTAAAGTCTTCTCCAATGCTGTCGGCCCGAAACGATCATTGGGTACGAACGAGGCGGGCTGTTTGTCAAAAAGGTTGTCAAGAGTTGGGCAATAGTCGTTTTGTGCACACGAAAACGGCTTGCGACAGCTGTCTGGCTCAAAACAGCCAGTAACGTTCCAAGAACTTGGTTCCTCTTCCCTTCCTCTCCTCATGTGCTGGATGCCTACGAGGTGTCATTACATTTGACATGGCCTTTTATGCTTAAACATTCAGGGAATACATGAAATACCATAGTGTTTTTAAACATCATTAAACGTTAGTTTTTTGATGGTCAAGTCCATCTTGAATGACTGACGACATAGCTGTATTTTATTATCTCATGCTTAAATACCCCAAACAACTTAATTTCATTTTGATTTGTTATTAAGACAAATATGTAAAAAAATCGAATATGCCTTTTCAAAGTGAGTCAGACATGTACCTCTCCGCCTATAACATGAGGATGCAGTTATGATCTCCATCAATGTGCTGATCAACTAAGGGGACGCGAAAAGGTCACTGTATCTTGCCCTTCCAATGTAACCAACCCCAAAGATTTAAAACTGAACAAACCCGTGATACAAGTTAAAATAGGAATTGTAACGAACATCATTTTGGTCACAGATGTGTCAAATTTGGAAATGCCATCTATCTGTATCTGCCATATACGTTTTGAAAGCTGATCTATAGCCTAGAATATTGTAATCCCGATTAAAAGTTTCAGAAGACCTTATTTGCCAATGGCACAAGATGAGATTTAAGTCGGTTCAAGATTCGTTTCCTCTCACTCTACTGGAGATCTGGCCAGAAATGTATGAGAATATTCTGTTGTGTCATGAAGTCACGTGACTAAACGTACGACAGGAGGCTGCATGACCTCCTGTTGAATGTGACGTGGTGCCCATTCACCTCCAACAGGATTATGTGATAACAGAAATAGAGAATATTCTCTGAACGAACTAATCCCTGTCTGATTGGTATTGATTACCACCAACTGGCTCCTGTGGTCTGTGGTGTAACGTCCGATACCATTGCACATCTGAACGTTGCAAAACACAAATGTTATCGTCGCGCACACAACCATCACTGTAACAATGGAACCATGAATCACATTAAGAACATTGCATGCCAATCTTGCCCAGCGGGAATCAGATATCGAGTACATCTCTATGAAATGATCACACCAAAAGTGGTCGGATGTAATGTTTAAGGAAAAAAACCTCATCACAGTCCTTGTCATAAATGAGGGATGTTTGAGCTGTCAAACTTGCTCGCTGAGACCAATTCCTAACATGCATCAACCGGATATGAATATCCTTTTGACCTGACGTTGATGTGAAGGTGGACGGTTTGAGATCCTGCCATTTTCTTGAATGTCTAATCACAACATTTCTTCACACTCCCGTTTACACTAATGTCATGAAGAAGGTCATTTTGTAACAGGCGTGGAACATTCATATACACGTTAAGATGTTGAAAAAAAAAAATTGTCATCTGGAAATGTGTTCATATTACAGTACAACGTGTCATCTGATTCCTTTACTTCAAATGCTGAAGTGACTTCATTACCCAGACGTCCTAGTTGAAGTGGAGATCGCAAATCAATGTACCATCTCATAAATCGTTTTGTACATGTAATGTTGCTCGAGCAATGTGTAATTATACTTACAACATGTAATGTAAGATGGATTCAAACATTATTCTAGAGAAGTAGGTTTAACCAAGACAATATGGCTATTCCATTTTAAATCCTAGTTTAGTGGTAGGATACCATAGACAACACACCATGACAATGAAGTTTCTTACTTTTATCTTCTCTTTCTCTTTTTAAGCACAAATCAGTGTGTATTAACACTGCAAACTGCAAACTATCGCTTCCTTTGCAATATTCAGTGCTCAGGCTGTAACAACGTCTGATATAATTACGATGTGCGATTCTACTTGCTGATGTGGACAACCCCATATATTCTCCTCTTGTTCCATAAAGCTATCATAAACCAGTACATTCTTCCACTGGTTTTATTCATCTTGTTATGTTTTTTTACTGTATATAAAGTATACGAGGTTCACTGTCTTAAAGATTAAACTAGCAATGGCTGATTTGTATAGTATAATCGAATACCAGTTTAATGAAAATTACGAATGGCTCGTCCAGGTTTCACTACTTGAACTCATGTAGATTGATGGTACACTTGCTGACATCATAATAGCTATATAAAATATAGAGTTTCGTTAGAGGTTCGTAAGTTATTTTCCTGCTGAGAATGAGCATTTGCAAATTTGCAGCGGAATAATAAAGTATTGTCTTAACCTATCTTATGTATGTATCAACACTTGACTGATCTGTGAGATCTCACAGTTAATTGCCTCTATCTTGAAAGTGTACTGCTGAACCCACACTTTTCGTCACGGGGCATCTTGATGTGATGAATATTGTATATCTGGTACAGGAGGCCCAGTGCTCTTGCACAGTCTACAATGCAAACACGAAAACGTCGTTTTTCCGTATATAGGCAATGGTTAGAACAAGCAATAAATTTCATTACAATTGATTAAATGGTGCCCGTTCAGAATGTGTCCGGAAACTCCAACAACGTTTAATAGCAAACTTTGTAATGTATATACATTCAAGAAACATATCAGTGGTATTCTCCACTCACCTTCAATGGCGAAGTAATCTGATCGTCACCAATAGCACTTGGGTGGTAGGCATATCTGTGAACAATTACACCGCTGTAAATAAGGGCAACCTTTGACTCGCCAACAGATAACATGTCTGTTATTAGTACTCGTTGCATCAACGTGCAAGCATATTTGAAGCACTCGGCATCAGTCAATCTTGAAATATTTATTTTTTCCCAAACTTATTTGAGTAAGCAAAACCATTTCTTAACAAATAAAAACAGGATTACATATATTTCTAAGTGCAGCTAGAATAATATATTGTTCACACACATACGATACGTATACGCACACGCACACGCACACACAAAATCATGTCAGGTCATCATAAATGATAACAGATTAGGAGAGAGAAACATGGATGATGTTGGTGGAAAGTGTGATGTCTCAAGATACATTGTAAACATGAAACGTCCTTAACTTCAAATAAAAAAACTGCCAAAAACGTTCACCATCAACGCCCCGAGTATCGTGATTGTCGGAGTGTGCTGCTGGTACCTGTGACGACACTTTCGGCCATGAATATTCTGGTCTTGGGTTGGAACTGGGCTAGTTACATTGGCGTCGTGCCCAGAGTGACAAGATAAATGCATCTCAATGCATAAAGTCATAGCAGAGCGCTGCAAAGTTGGTAAACTCTCGCTGTGGATATTGTGGTATTGCGTGTACTGTGCCAGTATGTGGGAATATGTGGTTAGCATGCTCGTTGCAAGGGTGCTCGACACCAGTTGTGTTAGGATATGTGTGGGTAATGCAAGAAACACGTCCCATTTTAATTCTGGAAACCCAAAAGTCCAGAAACTCTACGCTCTTTGCCCAGTCTCGGTTAAAGGTATTTACAAAATTAAACATGCCGTTTTCTACGGAACATACCAAGGAAGAAAAAATGAAAAAAAAATTGTTTAAAAACTCAATATTTAGACTATGTCGCCCATGGGCCTGCCCATGGGCGAAGTGTGGCCCATGGGTAGGCCCATGGGCAGGCCCATGGGCGAGAATATGTTCCTCTACTTAAAACTCATGTTTTTGTTTCGCAAATACATTTAATGTATTCATTCAAGTATCATGACACAAAATTTAACTCATTTTAACTTAATTCAACGATTTTATAGCGATATTGAAATATTTCGCCCATGGGCGAGAAAAAGGTTTGGCCCATGGGCGAGAATATGTTACTTTACTTAAAACTCATGATTTTGTTTCGCAAATACATTAAATGTATTTATTGAAGTATCATGACACAAAATTTAACTCATTTTAACTTAATTCAACGATTTTATAGCGATATTGAAATATTTCGCCCATGGGCGAGAAAAAGGTTTGGCCGATGGGCAGGCCCATGGGCGAGAATATGTTCCTTTACTTAAAACTCATGTTTTTGTTTCGCAAATACATTTAATGTATTCATTCAAGTATCATGACACAAAATTTAACTCATTTTAAATGTACATCACGTGACAAATGTTAATATCCAATCCGTCTGTCTGTCTTTTCAGCTAGTTTATTAGCTATTTTATTTATTACTTATCAGCTAGTACCTCCGATGAAATAGTTCTTTACAAACATTGGTACCAAACATCCACATCCTCCAATTAGTATATACTAGTTTCTCATGCATGAACTTTTATTAAAATAGTTTAATAAGATATGTTGTACTTCATGATAAGTTACTTGTACAAACAGAAGATGGTTATGCCTGATATCCGCATCCTTGTGGAGATTATCCTAACACGTCCCATTTTAATTCTGGAAACCCAAAAGTCCAGAAACTCTACGCTCTTTGCCCAGTCTCGGTTAAAGGTATTTACAAAATTAAACATGCCGTTTTCATGGGAACATACCAAGGAAGAAAAAATGAAAAAAAAATTGTTTAAAAACTCAATATTTAGACTATGTCGTCCATGGGCCTGCCCATGGGCGACGTGTGGCCCATGGGCGAGAATATGTTCCTCTACTTAAAACTCATGTTTTTGTTTCGCAAATACATTTAATGTATTCATTCAAGTATCATGACACAAAATTAAACTCATTTTAACTTAATTCAACGATTTTATAGCGATATTGAAATATTTCGCCCATGGGCGAGAAAAAGGTTTGGCCCATGGGCGAGAATATGTTCCTTTACTTAAAACTCATGATTTTGTTTCGCAAATACATTAAATGTATTTATTGAAGTATCATGACACAAAATTTAACTCATTTTAACTTAATTCAACGATTTTATAGCGATATTGAAATATTTCGCCCATGGGCGAGAAAAAGGTTTGGCCCCTGGGCAGGCCCATGGGCGAGAATATGTTCCTTTACTTAAAACTCATGTTTTTGTTTCGCAAATACATTTAATGTATTCATTCAAGTATCATGACACAAAATTTAACTCATTTTAACTTAATTCAACGATTTTATAGCGATATTGAAATATTTCGCCCATGGGCGAGAAAAAGGTTTGGCCCATGGGTAGGCCCATGGGCAGGCCCATGGGCGAGAATATGTTCCTTTACTTAAAACTCATGTTTTTGTTTCGCAAATACATTTAATGTATTTATTCAAGTATCATGACACAAACTTTAACTAATTGTTACTTAATTCAACTATTTTACGGAGTTATTAAAATATTTCGCCCATGTTTTCGTCAGTCCCTTTCAAGCATCAACTAATTATAACTGTTTGCAAAATATATTGTATCATGTGAAATATACTTTATATTATATCATTACATTACTATTTAAAAAGGGCTTTTGGTTGGATGTTTCCTTTAGTTCTACAAATTTCACCTGTTTTACATATTGTAGCGATCTTTAATGAACCCGGCCTTACCTCTCAAAACGTTTTGACAGTTTATCATACGAATTCATGAGCGTGTACTTAAATTCATTGGAGTTATTTTCCACAACATTAAATTTTAGTTAGTTTCTATTTCATTTCCCATTTTATGTCCCGTTGATACATCACACTGGGCAATTACGTGACACTAGGTATGTAATATACAGGTACGCGTGCGCGTATTTTAATGAAAAAAACTATTCGTCTTTTATTGCATAACGTTTGGCTGAATATCTTACATTCTAACGAAATCTCGAAATAATTATTTAATTACATGCGGTTTCGAACTGACCAGTAGGAATTATGTTTCAATGCGATTGAAGAAAACGTGAGTGAATATTGTGACACTAAAGCAACTTTTAACTGCATTGTCACTTTTGGTATGAAAATGGTAACAGTTGAGAAAAAACAACAGCCTTCTTATGATAATTCTCATTAGTACGTTGTATCTAATTACAGTGTCGGCCTTATTTACAGGTGATTCTACAATACCTGCTCTCGGTCAATTACGATCTACCACACCACGCGTGAATAAACAGTTATGCAGGTGTTGGTGTGGGCAACTACCTAGCCTGAAAATGTTTATTTTTTTTAGGATACATGTTTTACAAATGTTCGTTGATATGTGGATATATTAAGCACAAAGACAAAAAAATGTTTATGAAAGATGAATTAGTGCTTTGATATATTTATCGAGATGTGTATCATCGTTTAATAGGGTCATTCAATAAACGTATGTTTGGAGGAGATATCAAAGGAGCCGCCCAATATACACAGTGTCGTCCGGTGAACTACCCCCCCCCCCCCCCCCCGTCCATTAGAGTTATGTAATCGGTACACAAATATATTTGATGCGGTGTCAGTGCGGAAGGAGTTTGAATTACGTCCGCCACTTGCCACAGAAATCCTGAAAGTGTAGAAACAATAAACAAGGTCAATCCGTACTAATTACCGAGTGACTCACGCAACAACGACTGTCAATAGGGAAAATGGTGAAAACAAATTGAAATAGATTTTAATAAAACATTATTGTACTAAATAACTCGCAAAAGCGGTGCCTAAAATTGTTTGACCGTGTTATGTGTGTTGTAAACTGACGAATAGCAAGTAATTGTCATGCTGTACGCATGGTTCCATATACAAATTCAGTTATACAACCGGTATGAAACTGAGAACTTAGATACCAAGTACAACCTGCATTCACACACGGAAGCAATATACTTGTGTGTATGCCCTCGTCTCTAACAAATGTATCACTAAAGTATTTGCATTGTAATAAATATAGTAATGATAAAACTTGGTAATTTGGTAGGTCTCCGACAGATATGATTTTCAGTTTTTTTACACCTTTGATTGATACGGATTACGTACATGTAGTCTAGTCACTGTCTCTAATGTATCTGCTTGTTAGAAATTTCAAATGTCTTGTTATAGCACTGTTCCTAAAATACGGCAGTTTCTTTTATCGGGTATAAATAGTTGATTCGTCTTGTCACGCAGTCATTTTTACTTGATCGAATGATTTCCACAAAAAAATTACGGCAGAGAGTTTTGTATTTTATTATATTTTTAGAAGATTTTAGAAGATGCTTACATCACTGTATCTCAGAACGTAAAACTGATAACATTCAAACATGTTATTAGTACACAGTTAATTGTTACATATAATTTCCTGCATATTCCTTTTTGAACAAAAAGCCTACATGTATACTGATATCGGTGTCCACTGTTAAAAGGGTATTAGTGCAGTCAGCCATGGTAAATGGAGAGACAATAATAAGGTGATTAATTATAGTCTGTTGCAGAATATGCGGTATAAGTGTAGTCATGGATACATATACACATTACACATATACAGATGAAATACACGATATGATGCAGTGCAAGAACAAATTAAGATACGGTTTCTATTAAAAATATTTATACGATTTTGGATTTAATTAGCATGTTTAAATTTTCATGCCAACACGGCTGAGATACAGCATCGGCATACTCAACTGAAGTTGTTTTCTGCCGGTCGTAAGTTCATTGTTTGACTGAGCACACTCGTGTCGGGGTTGCGATATTTTCTTCTCTTTGTTGGCAGCCTGCCACCGGTCTGAATTTTGAGAAAGGTCTCAGCATGGGACTGTTAATTACTTCTTAATGATGTCTACAAGCTTACAAACTTGTAGATGTTGGGTGCGGTTAGGACCAAACTTTTTCAGCTC